AAAGTCATCTTATGACTGTAAAATGAACATTCTGGACTAGATTCATATCTACCATAAAAAAGAAACAAAGGGAAGATATCAACATTTCATTCGTCAGTTTTGATCAAGAAATTAAAAATGAGTGTTTAAGATATGACTATTGAATTGCAAGACCTGAATCTCAACATCAGACATCTTAGTTTAACAGAAGAAGATCAATGCCTCCACCGTACTACAAAAAAAGTTGCTGAGGGCTAAAGGAGGTTCAGTACTTTCAATTAGATAGGCAATCCAGCCTGGTTTCCCTCTGCCACTGGTTCCTTTGCTAGAACCCACAGAAACAGAGAGGAGGTATATTTCAAGTTTCATCATCCCATGAAAGCACAAAATTAATGAGAAAATAATTTAAGAAGTCACTTCAATATACACATGTTTTCAGAAATTACCCACTTCAACCACATCATTTAGTTGCTTGTATGAGTTGTCTCCCCTGTCATATCAGTAACCACAAGCTTTCATTACTTTCTTGTCTTTATTGTTAGCCTATGATGCCCTTGTTTTCCCATAATTTTGGATAACATTCACTAATAATGATATCTTCCCTGATATTACCAGAAAAACCGTTGCCGAGATTCCGAAGTAAATGTTGCACCCAGATATTGTGACCACATGCAACTGACACCAACATCTAGTCACATTCATTTCCTTCCACGAATCAGTTGATTGAGGGAGCCACAAAGTTAAGGTGTTAGAAATTTGAACTAGTCACACCGCTAGACAAACCAAATAGGAACTCAACATGCTAACTAGTGCTACTTTTAGCAGTCTGCAAAGATTTTATGACTTTTTGGAATCAGAATGCAGTAAGAAACCTCTTCATGAGGAACATTATGGGAGTCCATATCTATTTTCTTTTCTTAATAACAATAACCACAGACAATATAAGGACATGACCAACCCTGCTAAAAAATTAATCGTACCATTCAAGAAACTAGCTAACATAGTGTGTAGCCTATGGATGTATATCAACACCCAGTCTCTGTCCAAATGAAGATATAAATTTAAAATATCTACTAATACATGATTTCCACATCAATGGGAACTTCAGGACCATTTAGATGAAAATGTTGTGCTTGATTTTCCAGCACATGATAAGACAACAGGAAAACCTTAATTTGTCCATAATATGATCCTTTCACATGGGTGATCTGGGTATTTTGAGCTCTGAAAGCTACACCTTTGATTTTAAAAGAGAATCAAACTAAACAAAATATACCTTTTCATCAAAAATAAAAATGATATCTTCACATAGCATGGAACTGAAATGGTCTGTAGAGGGTTCTTCAGTTTGCCCCTAAGAGATAATCCATGTATAGGCTATGTGCTCAGCCCTTTTCTGAATGAGCAAAGACTAGAGTCAGCACTTCATCATGACAGATGTTCCAGTTGTTTAGTTTTTTGCGATTATGTACTTCGCGAAGTTGTCACCATCTTATCTAATGATGACTAATGGCTCAACTTGTCGATGCAATATAGGGCATATGCAGGTTCAGGTTACATACTTCTTTTTCTTATAAGATAAACTTTATTAAATAAAATGTGAGTGAAAAAAAATAAAAAATGAAAAAGTCCATACCAAGAAGGTAGTGATAGGCAGAAAATGTATACAAAAAGAAGTTGGATATTCCTTCACTAATTTTCTAGACCATCTATGAGAATTAATGATATGCATTTACGTCATATCCCATCTTTTTGCTGTTTACCATTCTTATTCCTTTTGGACAAAAGGATATGCATTTAGTAGATACGGGCGCCTTCCTAAGTTTTCTCCCTTGACAAATGCAAGAGTTTTAAGAAGAAAGAATAAATATCTTAAGATAGTTTACTATCTCAATCTACCAAATCGAAAAAAAAAAAAAAAGATTATATATAGTGGAACGAGATACTGCAATAATTTCTTCATCTAATATATCAAGATGGTGTAAGTGTTTTTCTTAATGACCGAGAAATCCTCGAGGGCCAGTGGCACTCGGTTCGGAACCCCACAATGGGCCTTCCTTTTCAGGATGGCCTGCAAGTTTGGGTTATAATTTTACATCTTGCGACAGTAAGGATGTTAGCTGAACAACCTAAAATATTTCAGCCTTGATGCATGCAGTGGTGCAACGACCATTTTCACTACTTTTTTCAGGAGAATGACTGTGTCACTACACGTTCACTTAAATTTCACAAAGGAGGACTCCACTATCAAATCTGTTTTTGGACTTCACCAAACGTGGTATCCAATACCCTGGTTAAGCTTAATTTTCTGGTGATAGTATAGGCTAATTTCATTTAATGCTTCAGATCAAATGTTATTAGGCAACACAGTATTCGGAAGAAAAGATAAGTCCTTTGCCCTGCATCAGAAATAACCTTTTTTTTTAGTTATTATATTTGCATAATCTATGTTCCGTTCACATGAGTGGTAATAAGTCTGATTCAAGAAGTTTGTTTTGTCGGTCAAACCGCCAAAGGGAAGAACAACATGGGACCTCTGGAGTAAGACAATATAATCTCATAATTTTAAAAGTTTTCCTCCATTAGTTGACCAGAGTTAGGGGTTCAACAATGGCTCCATAATTAGAAAGTACTCTCATTCATTCCCAAGAAAGTGCACCTCATACAGATGTCATTTTCAAAACTTCAAATACATTAAGGGCATAACAAGATGTCATTAAGCAGGCACAAGGAAGAGAACATTAATTTTTATTCATTATACTAACGGTACAAGAGAACAGCCAATCCACTGAGGAAAAGGCAATGGAGAGCATATTACCCCAGATATACAACGAGAGGCAAGAAAATTACACATTTGTTTTTGACTCCACATTGTCTAAACTCTTGACAGGTTATTCATCTCCCATTGCTAATTCCAATGCATAATCATGGAAAAGTGAACCTTAGGAACTTAGAGCAACTTGTATTACTTGTCCTTTCTTACATCATCAGTTTCTGCTTTCTTACATTAATAGGAAATTACAGAAACGTACAACTTACAATAGGTCCTCGAGCAAAATATCTCCCAAATTGAAGCCAATATACCTGAATATACCACATGATGTCAGGTCCGTGGTAGCATAATAGATCAAAACTACACATTGATCTTTTGGCTAAAACTTCAGAGGGGAGTTCTGAAAATAGCTGTCAGTACCTTTTCTGTAAACCCCACCATTTCAACTACAAAAATATCAGCAAAGCTTCATGCTCTACTGATATAATTTTCTATAGAGGTAAAGTTTCCATGAAAATACTACAGGTAATAAGCTAAAATCTCTAAAAAGTTCAAAGAGGAAACATGAATTCCATCTGGTTACTTGAAATACGTAACTTCAGTGTCTCGCGGAAAATAAAGCAGTCAGAAAGGTTAATACATATATTGAAATATGAAAAGTTTGTTGCAGGCTCATCTGAACATCACATCTCGCAAAGAACGTATCCAGAGCAACACACTATAGAAGAAACTGGAAGGCCAAAGAACAAACATGTTGCTGCCTTTTTTCCTTAGCCCTGTCGGAGCTTAATATTTAACTGTTTTCTTGTCCTGTTCAAACAGAGTCACAAACTTGTTTCTGCTTCTTGTCTAGTCCTCTAAGAGATCAATTTTTTCTTTCTAGCCATTCATTTAGAAAATGAATACACTATAATCTGAGCAGTTAATCGCAGTCATTTTTCCTTTTGCTCATCAGCTTAATTTAAGCAATTTATTAGAAAAAATATCAATGTATTATATAGTTATATAAAATGAAAGTCATTTCCTCCACAATTCTTATGCATTGCCATTTCCCGGTGAAATTTGGCGTTCTTAACTAGCTTTGCATCTGCTGCATTTTTTGCATAAATTGAAGCTATAGATTTTTGGTCAGGCTTGATGTGACAAATGCACGGGCTGAGTTGGAATGGCATGAGTTAAAACCAAAACACCTCATTGTTAGTTCTCATAATAAAAGGCCCCACCGTGGATAGGCTAAAAGTAGGTTGGGCTAAAGGGTCCAGGTAATTCATTATTGTTATTTAAGCACTCATTAATTCATTTTTGCTAATCTCATACAGCAACAATTTCTCTATATTTTGTTTTCTTTTTTGAAAAATGTTCTTATCAAAGGAACCACATGCATCCTGCTTCTACAAAAGCGAGGGTAACTGTCTTTTATAAAAAGTGAAAAAGGAAGAAGTTTAGAGGAGTAAAGAATGTGTATTGCACATGACTCTTTGAGGTAGTGTGTCAGCAGGGGCGGACCTAGAGCATACAATATGGGTTTCCGGGAATCCAGTAACTTTTGCGTAGACCCTCTATTTATATTAAGAAATTCACTAAATACTTGTAAATATCTAACTGTGAACCCAGTTATTATTGCATACTAATCTAAAATTACTGTAGGAACCCATAAGCCTCAAATCCTGGATCCGCCTCTGTGTGTCAGTTGCATGGATATGACAAGTATTTTTGCTGATGATTCAAAGGAAAACTTTTGCATTAGGCATGTGCCTGAGATGAAAAACTTGGTGTGCCCTTTGGTTTCAATCTAAGTTGCTCCGACACGGCAGTTAAGATGCCGCACTCGTGCGACATGACACTAGTATGGGTGTGGGTATGGGATCTATGCCGGATGTGGTCAAACAATTTTGGGTACTTTAATCATGACACTGGGTTTGTTGTTGTTGTTGTTGACCGTGACAGACAGAAAAATTCGAGACGAGATACAATTGATTTGATATCAGAACCAAAACTAGGGTAAATTTGAAGAAAATAGCATATTTTATCTAGGAAATCAATCCTTTACTTATCTACAACTTGAGAATAAAAAAGAAATCCATACTTTACAAGTTATACGTTAGTATTATACAAAATTTCTCATAATTTAAAGATATTTTTATATTTTTAATGTTTTTGAATTATTTTTAGCCGGATCCCGGCACCCGCATCCGTACTAGGAACCGTATCGCCGAATTTTAGAATTTACATATGGAAGGATCCGACCTCTAGATCCGCATCCATGTCTGAGCAACTTGAGTTTCAATTGCTTAAGGGCATGAAGTTGAAAAGACAGAAAAACATAAGAAGAAATTGGGACATCGTCAGTAAGTATCCAGAGAGGGTCTTCAACTGTTGATTCCTAACAAAGGTATGAATCTAGTATGCAGCCATATATTTCAACTTGAAGGTCAGATGACGGAAGTCCCACACAAAGAAGTGCATAACCCTACAAATTAAAGCATATTCGATTAATCCTGTCCTGGTAAAAAGGTAGAATAAGACAGGTAAAATGAAGACTCTCACTTCGCTTATATCTAGTTCAAGATACAGGTAAAAAGCCAGGACTTCTTTCAGGTATTAGCAACGCGGACCTCTGCGAAGAGCCGAAGACCCTATACCTCATCTATTAACCTTAACTAATAGGTCTCAATCATTGTGATCCGAGCCAGTATTTTGGCTCATAGGATTTGACAGACTAATGGCTACCATCAGATCTCTTATAAGTCTAACGAAAGAAGAATTAATGACAAGACCAGTTTTTTAGTTGAGAAGATATATAGGGAGTTGAGCATGGAAGGTACATCTCCAAGTCATGGCCAAATAGTTGCAAAGAGGGATTATGAACAAACTGATGAAACATTTCGTCAGTCATCTTGTCATTGAGTATCACAATTCACATGAAAAGTACAGTGGAGTATAATTGCTAGCTTGGGCTGGAAGTTTATGAATTCCATCTTCCAAAACCTTGAGGAACAACATCTCTCCATTGTTTTGTGGACAAATAACGTGCAGATGAATTTCAAATGCTTCATCAGTCTTGACTCTTGAGACCAAGAAATTCCTAGTTACATCACATATATGATCTTTTAAATGAGGAAAATTAATGAATTGCATCACATGTATGATGTGACGAGGAATTTCAAAACATTCCAAAACCTTTTGGAACAAAAGCTCGTCATTGTTTCATGGACAAATAACATGCAGACAAGGTTTGCATGCTTCATCAGTCTCGAGACCAAGAAATTCCTTGTCACATCACATAAATATCATTATCTTTCTGTATAAGTTACATCAAATATATTAGCATAAAAAAGAGAGAAAAATTACATTTAAGGTTTAACAAAGGAGAAACAATCAAAACTACCAAGAATCGACAGTCAAACAATAAAAGCGAATAAGAACTGCATCCACAGAAGCTCAATGTGATTTAACGTACCTTAGACTTCAGCTCTGCAGAAATCCCCAGTGCCTCGGGTTGTCTAAGTTGCCCTGATTGTACACGAACAGCACAGCTCGTACAACATCCTTCAACATATTAGATTATTAAATTAGAAAAATGTGATATAACAAGACCATCATATGGAGAAAATCTGATGAAAGAGAGGCTAACGGTTAAAGGTCAAAGAAACACAACCAAAAACCCAATGCATTTGACCCTAGATCAAAGAGAAATGTGCAGTTTGTGAGAAACAAACGATAGGGAACCTTAAGGTTAAAACTGTTGGGATATATACTATCAACCATGGGTTTGGTTTAGATATAGTATTTATTATAAAATAATTGTTTATTGAGTTTTAATAAAGTTTTAAATAGATCATATATTAGTTTGTGTCCTTTGGTTATATAGTAGATGATTTAGTGTATAGAGTTTAGCTTATACACGAAAGATTTTAAATCATCGGTTCTTATAAGTATAAAGTTTGAGTTCACAATCTAATGATCGAACTGGACAACCATCAGGAATGATTGTAGCACAAGATTAAATATAATTTATCTTGATTATGGAAATGGTTTAATTCCAACTTCTTGTGCTAGTACATTTTGTATTATTGAACGGATCAAGTAGAGATAAGTATTTTACTCTAACTTAATAAAATAAACTCTCTAGCCATTAAATGTACTTATACTCTTAATCTTGATATAATTTTTATTAGCTGTATATATTGTTATTTTTTTATTTATTAAAAGGCGAGATTCTTTCGTGGGTCAATATGCCTGGTAAATTGGACAATAATAATGTACATTGGCGAAATAATAGTTAGTTGATGGAATCCATGTCTCGGTTCAGAGATTGATCATACACCTTTATGAAAGCTTATAAGTTTTCATGTCTAAACCCGGCCGGTAGATTTTGTATCCAACACATGAAATAAATTAAGAGAAAGTTTAAAGGAATCAATCAATAAATCATATCGTCAGTAATTTAATTTAATTGATTAGTATCTGAATCTTAACATGGGAAATTAAATAAGATTTAATGGATGAATTTCGAAATTGAATAAGGTGTGCAATTACGGATTTTTAGTGGAATAATTCGTAATTAATTATGGTGGATATTAATTTCGAAAATTATAAATTAATTCCATAATTGGAAGCCTTGTTAATTAAATTATGTGGTCCCTGCTGTGCCTAAATAATAGGAAATAAAGGAATCATTTTTCTGGTATAAAAGAAAACCTAACAGGTTTTGGAAAAGGGTGTTAACCCTTAAAAGTTGTGCTTAAATACATAAGGTTTTCCACCTAGAGAAGAGAGAGATGGTGGCCGAATTTCAGCCATATTTTCCTAGAAAATTTCACCCACACAAAATTAGTATTTTCGAAAATTATTTGGGTAACACAATAGAAGACCGTGGAACGTTAGGAGATCGTGATCATGCGGGTGGTGGAGATGTCAACGAGACGATGTAAAATTGAAGGCTCATGTGACTGAAGAGCCGTGTTCACGCTTTAAGTGGTAACCCGTGAAATCCTATAGTTGTCTAGATTACATGTGATTTTGATACAAGGATTTCTTCCGCTGCTCATAATAATCCATCAATTGGTATCAGAGCCCACTCACATCTAATTAGATAACTAGGTTTTTCATGAAACAAGAATATCGTGTTTATGTGCGTTTTTGAGTTACATGTATATGTGATTTTCTGAGAAGCGGCACTGCTGTTTTGTGAATTAACTGTGCAAACATTTTGGATTATTCTTGTAATCATGAGATATTATTTTTTTATTTATATTTGATTGGGATGATTTGGACTATTTTTTATAAACCCTATAAAAACGCAAAATCTTATTTTGATCGAATTGCAGGTATTGTCGGAGGTCAGCAAACTTGACGGACTCCGATTGAGCCAAAATTTGGTTGGTCCACCGGAAACGACGTGGTGAGAAAAACTCATTGCTTTAGCAGTGAATCATGGTGTTTTTGGCGTTTTGAGGTCGTTGGACTGTGTTTTGGACGTTTTTCTTTTTTCTGGAAATTATCTCTTAATAATTTTAATTCGTTTTTAATTCAATGGTGGTGGGGGTGACTCCCCATGGTCTCCACGACTAAATACTGGTGATATAATGGATTTACATATTGGGTATTAGTAAATAGAGGTGTTGTTGTATCAAATTCAATAATAGAGGTATAAGATTTTATTGACTAGGTCTTACAAGATATACTTGATATTGTGTGATGATATAATTATTTTGTAAGAAAGTGAAATCCTTTGTTTGATATCCTGGCTGACTAATGATTGGCGCATTTGGCATATTTGTGCATAAAAAATTTCTCAAATTTTAGTTTATGCTTCGTGCCCTACGTGATTGCTAGTCTTGGATTTTCGATGAAAAATTTTGTTCTCTGGTTGGAGGTTGTAATTAAGTGAAATATGACGGTATTTTGTATGAGTATTATTTTATTGGCATGACTTTTAAGTTGTGGTCCATAATCTGCCATAAAATAATTTTATGAGCTACATGTATCTTCACTCGTAAATTGAGAATTTTGTGAATAATAAATAGTTACCACTAAAGTGGTTTGTTTATTTAAACTCATGGAAAATTCTTAATAAATTTGTACATGTGAAATTATGTCTATTCGATGTTTGAGCATTATGATTCATAAGTAGGATCCACAAATGGTCTATTTATTTGAGTCATTAATATCTGCTTAATGTACCATGTGAAATTATCCTTTGATAAATCTGCATTAGTGGTGGAGGTTCTTAACTAGAAAAAGACTTTTATCTTTGGATACTAGTGAGACCAACTCCATCCATAAGAAGAGATATTGGGGTTTTCGCCGAACGGGAGAAAATATAATATCTTAGGTTCTTGTGTATTTAATAAAAGGATAATTTAATGCAAAAGGAGATATTATGTATCCTAGAAATAGGTAGAACATAATATATGCCTCGAGTTCATAGTATAATTATAAGGAGAATGGAAATCAATATCATATTTGTTTTAATTCATGAAACTGCTTAAAAACAGTTATTCTCCGAGTTTGGTTACAAGCTGGTGGTCATGAATTTGACGAATTTCGATTGACCTAAAACTTGGTAGGTTCGTTGAAAATGATCTAATGAGAAAAACTCACTGCTATGCAGTGAATCATGCTGTTTTTCGGCATTTTGAGGTCATTTAGATGGGTTTCAAGCAATTTATTAAATTGAATTTGTTATAAATATGAAAAATTATTCTTTATATATCGGCTATATTTTTGTTAAATCTAAAACATGATGGTTTAACTTGACATAATATATAGCAAGAAAGCAAATCACATGGATTTAATCCTAAATACGCCAAAAATAATTTATTCGAATTTGGTTTAGTTTTTGGCGATCGTGAATTTCACGATCTCCGAATGACCTGAAATTCGGTAGGATCATCGAAAATGATTAGTTAAGAAGAACTCACTATTACGCAGTGAATTACATTGTATTTTGACGATTTGGGATCGTTTAGATGAGTTTTTTGAAGGTTTGGCGGATTAAAATATGATTTACATACGAAAAGTCATCCTTTCTATCATTTTATTTATGTCTAATTTGGAATATGATAACACATGTTGATTTGACATGAATTGGTATATGATAAGAATGTAGGTCATATTTTAAATTCTTACAAAATGCTTTAAATGGTAATTTTCCAAATTTGGTCGCAATTTTTGGAAATTGTGATTTTAACGATCTCCGATTGATCTAAAATTTGGTAAGTTTATCAAAAATAGCCCAGTGATCAATACTCACTGCTATGCAGTGAAAAACGTTAATTTTAGCGTTTTAAGACTGTTTAAATGAGGTTTTGAGCATTTTTTTAATTATGAAACTTAATCCTCAGAGAAGTTCATGGTTGTGATAAAGTGGTGATAGGATTAACCCCTATGGTCTCCATTTTTAATTTATTGTGATATAATAAATTTACGCGTTGACATTAGGTCTTCCTCCATATCGGATAAATTTATTATGAACTCACTAGATATAGTTACTAGTTATTGATAGCATGTATTAACTCTTTATCGGAGTTTAAGGGTTGAATCAATTTTGTAACTAAAATACAAGCATGATTAAGTGGTGATAGAAATATAATTCTATGGTCTTCCACTATTAATCTCAAGTGAGTAACAAATTTACGTGTTGACTTTAGGTCTTCCTCCATATCGGATAAATTTATTGTAAGCTCACTAGGTGAAATACTAGTAATTGATATCGTGTACTTACTCTCCATCTGAGCATACATGTTGGATCAATGGAACTGTCACGACCCGGATTTCCCCACCCTTGGGGGTCGTGATGGCGCCTACTCGTAGAAGCTAGGCAAGCCACAAATCATAAACTCCTACCTACTTTATTTTAAATCCTTTTATCTATCATAACAACAAGCGTTAAATATTTAAATGACAGCGGAATATGAAATCAAAACGGAAGACTTAAATTAAATAAGCTGAACAATAACGCAGAATTCAACATGTGCCTCTACCCAAGAACTGGTGTCACATCATCCACGGACTATTAAGAGTACAAAATACAATCGTTTGAAAGAAATATAGCACTGTTCATCCCGAAAACATGAGATAACAGAATGAAATATATGATAGAGGAGACGCCAGGCCTGCGGACGCGTGCAAGGCTACCTCGGAGTCTCGATGGACTGAAGGCTGGCTCCCGAGCTACTACTACTGTCTGGGACCTGGATCTGTGCAAAAGAGCACAGAGTGTAGTATCAGCACAACTGATCCCATGTGCTGGTAAGTGCCTAGCCTAACCTCGGCGAAGTAGTGACGAGGCTAGGACCAGACTACCAAATAAACCTGTGCAGTTATATAATGTACAGCGGAAAGTAAAGCATGTATAAGCAAGTAAGGATGGGAGGGGGAAACATGCTTCGGGGAATAACAGGTAAAATAGAATATCAAGAGAACCATAAAGGAACAAAAATCCAACCACTAGCAAGAATAAGGAAAACAAAGGCAGATTTCACTTTCTTTTCACATCTTGTTGCAGGCGTGCAACCCGATCCCATTTCATTATATCTCGTGGT